GCCTCGAAATCGGGATTCGCTCCATGAGGGCGCGCCCCCAAAGGCTCTGGGCGACATTCGGAGGGACAGCCCTGGCTTCGTCCCCGACGCCCGCTGCACCATGGGCGGCGCCCAGAACTTCGATAACGGTCTGCACAACGTGGGAGCACCTGGGATGGCGCCCACTACGTCGCTGCCGCCGTGAAGCACGCCGCTCGTGAGCAAATTCATGAACACACGCGCGGGCGATTTTTCCAGTTTGACGACTTCGGCGATTCCGTCACGGACCTGTCCGACGCCAGCACGGCGCACGACCTGCAGGTGGAGAACCAGCTGGACATCCTCGACACGGAGGCGAGAGGCAGGACCGCCCGCGGCTAGCCCGCCCAGCTGGAGACGCGCGCCCCGTCGTGTCGCTGGCTCCTCCTCCCCCCCTTCCTCGCCTGCATCATTGTGCTCCTCTGCCTCGTCCTCCTCATGTGTATGGAACCCGTGTAATACCCTCATATATACTCCTTATCCTTACCTCTCCCGCACCTGGCCGTTTGGGCTCAGGTACTGAGTTGGAGCGATCGTACCTTGATCGCTTGGGAGGGAAAGATATCCATCTATCCCTCCATCTCTCTACCAACGGATCAGGGGTTCTGTACTCTTGTACTTCAACCCCATACACACCTCATCCTCAGCCTTTCCTCTCTCCTGCACTCTTCCTCCTCCCCTGCCTCACCCCCTGCTTCGGCACCCCGCGTGCATAGCTGCACTGGCGGTGGCCGGGCGAGTCATCATTGGGTTTGGCTGGTCAGGAGAGCTTGTTCCGGCCCGCCTCCTCTCGCTCAAAGGCCTTCACAAAATTGTGCCGGTGTCGTGTGCGAAGAGGTGGCTAGCCTCCGCAACGGATAAGCATGATCCGGATGCAGAAATAGTATTCATAATTGAGGTCGAAACCTGATGACGTTACGTAGTAGGCAGCCTTGCTTGGGGGAAGGGGAATCGGGTGCGCATCAGGTGGGTAATGTCCTCTGCCCGGGTGCCACCTGGTAAGTGTGGACCATCTGCTGCGTCGTGGCACGATGCCTGAGCCCATCTGTCAAGACGCCTCAGAAGCATCCCCATTCAGGGGCAGGGCCTCGACAAGCAACGGCCGAACGCTTGGGCCTATTCGGGCCGTCCTGGGGGCGTTCTCGGCACCATCGCGGGCCCTCTTGGAGGGCCACTTTGGCGGCCATTTAGGGCCTGGGGCCCATTCAGGAAAGGGTCTTCGGTCCAGTCGTGGGCCTCGGGGGCAGTATCGGCCAGATCAGAGGTGATTCTTGTTGTACAAGAGGCCGTGACCTTGGGAATGCGGACTCTGTGTTTTTATGTACGAGGGTCTGCGAGTTCAGACCCATGGCTCCTTTGCGCGCCGCAGGAGCGATCGTGCGCAACATGTCATGACGATGACCTCTGGAGCGAGCGCGGCCACTCCCTACCAGCAGCTATCATCTAGCGGTCGACTTACGCTCTCCCCAGAACTCCCGCATCGTGTTTCTCCCACAGCGTCGGTTCCCCACGAGGTCTGGGCCCCCTCCCCAGAGGACCGGTTTTTCGTAGCGGGTGTTTTTTTGGGGTGCGGTCCCGAGGACCGGCGGCGGCCCCTGGACCGAGGCTGAGATCGGCAGCAACATGTCCATCTGGTTCTGCTGCGCCTTCCTCCGCCCCCCTTTTCCCCCCTCTAAGTGGCCGGCGCTTGTTTGATTTCTGGCATGGGCGCCAGGGTTTTTTCAGCTGCCGACGCGTGCGACAGCCAGCCCTGGCAACCGCGCCCCCCGCTCTCCCTCCTCTCCCTCGTGGCTGGTGCTTCGCGCGGGGGAGCCCCCCCGGTCCCTCGGCGGGAGGGCTGGCCGTGTCCCTCCGGTTCCTCCGCGACGACCCAGAGATCCAACGTATTGAAAAAATCAAGACGGAGTTTTTTCTCAATTTTCGGCCCCAAAGGGCCCTCGCCGGGCCCCGGGACCGTCAAAAAACGACTCAGGATGAAAAACCGGTCCTGGGGAATGGGTCGAGACCTCTGGGGACCCCGCATTGAAAAAATCACGACGTCGGATCTCTGGGGAGGCCGCGCCCGCGGCCGCTCTGTCTCGAGCCCTGCCCGGCCCGCCGGGCCGCGGCCGCCGGAGGCCGCGCGCGCGGCAGGCGCGCCCGCGCGCACAGCTGGGGTGCGGGCCCGGGCGGCCCGGGCCCGAGGCAGCCCGCACGGTGAGGATGGGCACCCTTCCCAAGGTTAACCCCTGCATCCTTGCCTCCTCGACCCATCTTTTGCCACCTTCGCTGGCCGCGCCCCGCTCGGAGAGCTTCGGCGTGGCCTTCCAAGGCCCTTGCCTTTTGATCGCGCATCCTTGTGATACGGGTTGGCTGTAGAAGATCGACTGCAGAGGAGTTGACTTGCCCCAAGATTGATTTTCACGTCGAGTCTTCAACATTCGCATGCGTATAATGTTCACAGATATCTGCGAGAGTTCCACGGATTGCTTGTGGATTCGACGAGACTCGAGTACGCCAAAACTCGGGTTTGCCGACGCTTTTTGACGAGCGCGTCAGGGATTTTGACGGTCCAGTTTTGTGGGATGTCTGCAGTGGGAGCTCGCGACAAAGTTCAGATCGACTGGGTCTCGTCGTTTTCATGATGGCCCCGATAGGCCAACCCGAGTCCCCGGAATCCGAGTCTTACGTCTCCACGAGATTTTCCCAAACATTGATTTTCACGTCGAGTCTTCAATGCAAACACGTATGATGTTTGCAGAGCTGCGAAAGTTCCAAGAATCAAGTCTGGAGTAGATCACTGCTGCAGTCGATCCCCTGCTCGAATCCTGGGGCCCCTCAGGGCTCCGCTGGGGGAGCCCATGAGGCCTCCTGGGCGACGCAAAAAGAAAACACGGAGTCGTCTGCGCCGACATTTGCGCGCAAGCTGCCCGCGCAAAGTCGCTCGTGAGCGCCCTGGGTCTCCGGAATGGCGTGCCGCGCCGGCGGCCCGCGCAAGCCACCGAGCACGGTCGCTACATCATCTCGCGTCAGACCCGTTCTTGATCGTCGACCACCGGTGGGCGACGGTCAAGAACGGGTCGCCCACCGGTGGGCGACGATGAAGAACGGGTCGCCCACCGGTGGGCGACGATGCAGAACGGGTCGCCCACAGGTGGGCGAGGATCAAGCTTGTTTCCCAGGCCTGGGGCTGGGGTCTCCTCTGGGCAGCACCCGGCGCGTGGACCCCTGGCGGCGGTGGGCGCCGAGCCCCGCGGAGGAGGACCCGGAAGGAGCAAGCGGTGCACCTGCGCCGCCCCTGGCCGGGCCCAGGGCCAGGGCACGCGCCCTCCTCGGGAAGGCAAGCGTCGGGTGGGGGGGGAGGGCCCGGGATGCCCAGACCTCCTCGCGCTGCGAAGAAAAACACGACGGTTGGTTTTTCGCTATTTTCGGCCTCCGGGGGCCCTTACAGGGCCTGGGCTCCAGCCGTGATTTTCGGGCCATTGTCCCACGCTTCCTTGGAACATCGGATCTCAGGGTCCGGGGGCGTGCGCCGTGGGGCGGCGCCGTGGGGGCGGCGCCTTCGGCACGGCTGCTCAGCTCCTCCTCCTCCTCCTCCTCCTCCTCCTCCTCCTCCTCCTCCTCCTCCTCCTCCTCCTCCTCCTCCTCCTCCTGAAGGCACAAGCAGCAACCGGAGAAGAAGACGCACAACACCGCCGGATCTCGGGGCCCCGACGGGTCGACCCCCGGACGGCCCTCCGAGGCCGCGTGCCCCTCGCCCTCCCGGAGAGGAGGGCCCCCCCCCCCGAGCGCACGCCCCCTGTCGTTGCGCGAGCTGGGCCACACGGGCGCCGCCCGGGCCCGGCCGGGCCCCGGGGGCCGGCCCACAGGCGTGCAGCCCCAGGGGGCCCGGCGCCGTGGCCTCTCCACACGAGCCCAGGCATGCTCAGAGGCCAGCAACATATGTACGCGTACGCGGTTAGCTTCCCCTGGAGGGCGTTTGAACGAGGACGTTCGTGCATTCAAGACCGCGGAGGGCGTACATGTACATATGTCGTTGCTCGCTCACATGCTCGCGTCGTGGAGAGCAAAAAGCAGGGCGCGGGAGGTTTCGGGCCATGGCCCTCGCCGGGCCTCGGGGCCGTCAAGGAACGACTCGGGAAGAAGAGCCGAGTCCCGGGGAAAGGGTCGGGATCGACTTCCAGGGACCCCGCACTGAGAAAGTCAGGACGGCGTCGCCTGTCTGGGAGGGGCTCCTGGAGGTCTCGAGCCATTCCCCCCAGGACCGGTTGTCCATCCTTCAGTCCGATCCTGGACCCCTTGTTGGACGCAGCCCTCCAGCTTTCGCGCCGAAGGCCGCCCGGAACCGCCAGCGACGCAGCCGCCGAAGACCGTCGGAAGACCGTCAGAAGACCGCGGGAGGCCGCCGAAGACGGCCCGGGAGCAGCGGGTGCTGGCCCATGGTCAGGAGGGGAAAAAACACACAGACACAATTAATCGTCGACCCCCCAGAAAATATAGGAAAATATGGGAAGTGGGGGGGAAGACAGAAACCCAGAAAGTATGGGAAAACATGGGGAATCTTTTTATTTGTGTGTATTTATTTGTGTGTCCCAGTTTCCCTTCACATGGTCGAGCACGCAGCAGCCCGGTCGTCGTGCTGTGTAGCGGCCCTGGGGGCTGGCGATCGGGCCCCCACGTGGGGGGCAGAGGGTGGCGCCGGAGGACTCCCGTCGTTGCTTCCTATGCGCCACGCGGGGAGGCCCGTGGTCTTCAGGCGGGCCTGCCCCTCTGCAGGGGGGATACTCAAAACCAGTGAAAAGATAGCCGTTTTTTCCCGTATGTTTTGGTCCATGCTGGAGCATGTTTCCCAGAGGTCCAACGTATTGAAAAAATCAAGACGGAGGTTTTTCGCAAGTTTCGGCCTCAAGGGGCCCTCGCCGGGCCCCGGGACCGTCAAAAAAGGACTTAGGATGAAAAACCGGTCCCGGGGAACGAGTCGAGACCCCCGGGGGGCCCGTATT